AAAGCAAAACCTTGTACGGTATTAGCAGCTCCCGCGATAGAAATATACGTGGATGAATGAAGTCGTACGTTTGTTGTTGGGGTTGACTATTGCTCGGCTGCTTTCAGCTGGCTCAAATCATGAGACCCGTGCTTTCGTTACTAGGAAAAACAAGGTTCACCTCTTGACGTACAAGTTTCACCCCGTCCTCTTCTTCAAACGCATTTGGAGTCTTCCCATACTAATTAGAATTCGTGTCGAAAATCCATAACAAAGGTAACGTGGCGCGTTTGCGAATCAACACAACCAAGACAAACAGGCTTTCGTAAAAATATTGGGAAACAGTAGTAGGTGGACAAAATCGCCCTGTCACACACGTTGAGCTCACTTGACATCTTTCATCAGGATGAGCTGTACGATGACTTCTCAAAAGCCGAATGGTAATGACCTGTGCGTACAATCTTTTGTGCAAGAGACGAAGGGACCTTATCATCAATGCATGAATTCATTTCGACCTGTGCGACGCTCATAGCACGTATGAAGAGAGTTATAGTCGGTCATGTAAGCCAAATAAGAGCAGCCGAACTATGGTCAACTCCGTCGGCCAACTTCTGACTCCTCGATATTCGTGAAGGTGGCGGCAGTGTCAGCGTCGAAACTTATGATGACATGTTCATGAGAGCCACGGTCGCGCATTGAACGAAACCACGGAGGCCACAGTAGTCGTAACAAAATGCGCGATTTCATTAGGTCACTGCATTGGTAGTCTGCGACCGATTGGCAGCTACAGCCGTTCGAACATGTTAGCTGCGTCGGTGAGTCGCAAAGGCTTTTGACTTCATTGTGAATTGAAAAAGTGACCGCTTGACTCGTCTGGGTGAGTGAGTATGCGGGGTCGAAGCTAACAGAAGAGGAGGCTGCATGAGGTCAGTCGTACAAACTATTCACGTCGCTGCCATCGAGCAATGAATCTTTCACTCAATGCTGTCTCTCTAAAGTATGCACGTCGCCGCCATCGAGCAAAGAATCTTCCGCTCAATGCTATCCCTCTAAAGTATGCACGTCGCCGCCATCGAACAGAGCATTTTCCGCTCAATGTTGTCCGTCCTAACTGTCACAACAAACAACCGCGATATTGGCACTAAGAACTGATGTACTCGATCACGTTGTTACGGTAAAGGCCCGCGTTCATCTTGAGCCAGTCATCACGCATACCAAGATCACGACACTAGCGTCGAGCCGAGATACATACACCGTCTGTATGTCGAGATTGAGGTAGGCGAGCACGAGACAAATACACAATTTGAATGTCGTGATAATGACAAGCGAAAGAGTACCGTCAAGGAACGGCATGCGACGAATCTCAGCCCGTACAGTACCGCAGAACTTGTGGCTCGCACGACAATCCCGAGAAACAATAAACCACGAACAAGGAAAAGGGACAATCAACTTACTGGCACACAACCCAACACAACCAGCGTCATGCACATGAAGCTCCAGTCAGAACCGCAATTGTTCTGTACAACTACCCAAGACGTTCATGGCGATGGATACAGTAGGCATAGGTGAAGGAGTAGAAATTGTAGTACGATATCAAAAGAAGTTCCCACCATTCGCAGCTGGCAAGCCCTATCAAACGACTTCTGTGCGAGCGTTGACATATTCGCAGGCTCACTTCAACCCCTGAGCTTTATCCGATTAGAAACACCCACGGGAACCACGTGACCGACTCTAGAAAGCCAACAGATGACGACCACTGCATCAAGAATCCCGCTCATCTACTCCTCTTCACAAAAAGATAGACGCTTATTTCACCAGTATACCAAATAGCGGCAAGTCAGGTGTAGCCGCGAGAGCCTTATGGATGGTTTACAAGCGGTGTGATCGTACAAAGAGAGTCGAACAGCGTGGCAGATGTATGTCACTTGGTCCACCTCAGTTTCCTCACCCCTCAGCCTTCCACCCAAAACCGCGACACTGGCTTTTATCTACACCCAATCACGGTCATGACCTGTATTTGCACTTCGGCTTGATCATGTAAATACCAAGAGACGGACGTGTCAAATCTTCCAACAAGACAGAAGAGAACGATAAAGGAACGCGAATGTGTTATTCGGTTGTACTCATGAACCAAATCAATCAAGACTTCTCAGCTAGGGTCTCTCATAAACCGCATCAGCGACGCAGATGACAGAAGTTGATTTAAAGCACAATTTAGGTGCTAAAAGGGACTCGTCCCTTCGTCTTGCGGTGAAGCCGGACACGCTTACCATCCCCGGCCCCATTTACCTCCACCACCCCATTTACCTCCACCACCCCATTTACCTCCACCACCCCACTTGCCACCACGGCCGCCTCCCCAGTGCCGCTCTTGCTGGTCATCATCTCCATCCATCGCCTCTGTATCGGGCTGCATGCCCATCTCGTCGGGACTGGTATCCTCGGCGGTATCCTCGGCAAGGGCTCGTAAGGCGGGCGTGTCTGTGGCTGCGACGCTCAATGTAGCAAGAACGGCAGCAACGATGAGAGCAGTGAACTTCATTGTCGAGAAGGCGCTTTCGTGACTTGGGTTCGTAGTCTGTGTCGGAAGCGAATTGCGTTGTGAATCAAGTGCGGCTCGGGAAGCTGTGGCCGTCAGGCTACAACGGAAAGATCGAGACCTCTTCGGAAGTCACAGAAAGTGCTTTGGGAAGCTGCACTAACTGCCATCAGATCATGAACGTCGGTCAGAAGGTTGATGATGCAGCTGTTGATCTTGAAGTCGATACTTCGATGAGAAAAGCAAAACCTTGTACGGTATTAGCAGCTCCCGCGATAGAAATATACGTGGATGAATGAAGTCGTACGTTTGTTGTTGGGGTTGACTATTGCTCGGCTGCTTTCAGCTGGCTCAAATCATGAGACCCGTGCTTTCGTTACTAGGAAAAACAAGGTTCACCTCTTGACGTACAAGTTTCACCCCGTCCTCTTCTTCAAACGCATTTGGAGTCTTCCCATACTAATTAGAATTCGTGTCGAAAATCCATAACAAAGGTAACGTGGCGCGTTTGCGAATCAACACAACCAAGACAAACAGGCTTTCGTAAAAATATTGGGAAACAGTAGTAGGTGGACAAAATCGCCCTGTCACACACGTTGAGCTCACTTGACATCTTTCATCAGGATGAGCTGTACGATGACTTCTCAAAAGCCGAATGGTAGTGACCTGTGCGTACAATCTTTTGTGCAAGAGACGAAGGGACCTTATCATCAATGCATGAATTCATTTCGACCTGTGCGACGCTCATAGCACGTATGAAGAGAGTTATAGTCGGTCATGTAAGCCAAATAAGAGCAGCCGAACTATGGTCAACTCCGTCGGCCAACTTCTGACTCCTCGATATTCGTGAAGGTGGCGGCAGTGTCAGCGTCGAAACTTATGATGACATGTTCATGAGAGCCACGGTCGCGCATTGAACGAAACCACGGAGGCCACAGTAGTCGTAACAAAATGCGCGATTTCATTAGGTCACTGCATTGGCAGTCTGCGACCGATTGGCAGCTACAGCCGTTCGAACATGTTAGCTGCGTCGGTGAGTCGCAAAGGCTTTTGACTTCATTGTGAATTGAAAAAGTGACCGCTTGACTCGTCTGGGTGAGTGAGTATGCGGGGTCGAAGCTAACAGAAGAGGAGGCTGCATGAGGTCAGTCGTACACACTATTCACGTCGCTGCCATCGAGCAATGAATCTTTCACTCAATGCTGTCTCTCTAAAGTATGCACGTCGCCGCCATCGAGCAAAGAATCTTCCGCTCAATGCTATCCCTCTAAAGTATGCACGTCGCCGCCATCGAACAGAGCATTTTCCGCTCAATGTTGTCCGTCCTAACTGTCACAACAAACAACCGCGATATTGGCACTAAGAACTGATGTACTCGATCACGTTGTTACGGTAAAGGCCCGCGTTCATCTTGAGCCAGTCATCACGCATACCAAGATCACGACACTAGCGTCGAGCCGAGATACATACACCGTCTGTATGTCGAGATTGAGGTAGGCGAGCACGAGACAAATACACAATTTGAATGTCGTGATAATGACAAGCGAAAGAGTACCGTCAAGGAACGGCATGCGACGAATCTCAGCCCGTACAGTACCGCAGAACTTGTGGCTCGCACGACAATCCCGAGAAACAATAAACCACGAACAAGGAAAAGGGACAATCAACTTACTGGCACACAACCCAACACAACCAGCGTCATGCACATGAAGCTCCAGTCAGAACCGCAATTGTTCTGTACAACTACCCAAGACGTTCATGGCGATGGATACAGTAGGCATAGGTGAAGGAGTAGAAATTGTAGTACGATATCAAAAGAAGTTCCCACCATTCGCAGCTGGCAAGCCCTATCAAACGACTTCTGTGCGAGCGTTGACATATTCGCAGGCTCACTTCAACCCCTGAGCTTTATCCGATTAGAAACACCCACGGGAACCACGTGACCGACTCTAGAAGCCAACAGATGACGACCACTGCATCAAGAATCCCGCTCATCTACTCCTCTTCACAAAAAGATAGACGCTTATTTCACCAGTATACCAAATAGCGGCAAGTCAGGTGTAGCCGCGAGAGCCTTATGGATGGTTTACAAGCGGTGTGATCGTACAAAAGAGTCGAACAGCGTGGCAGATGTATGTCACTTGGTCCACCTCAGTTTCCTCACCCCTCAGCCTTCCACCCAAAACCGCGACACTGGCTTTTATCTACACCCAATCACGGTCATGACCTGTATTTGCACTTCGGCTTGATCATGTAAATGCCAAGAGACGGACGTGTCAAATCTTCCAACAAGACAGAAGAGAACGATAAAGGAACGCGAATGTGTTATTCGGTTGTACTCATGAACCAAATCAATCAAGACTTCTCAGCTAGGGTCTCTCATAAACCGCATCAGCGACGCAGATGACAGAAGTTGATTTGAAGCACAATTTAGGTGCTAAAAGGGACTCGTCCCTTCGTCTTGCGGTGAAGCCGGACACGCTTACCATCCCCGGCCCCATTTACCTCCACCACCCCATTTACCTCCACCACCCCACTTGCCACCACCACCCCACTTGCCACCACGGCCGCCTCCCCAGTGCCGCTCTTGCTGGTCATCATCTCCATCCATCGCCTCTGTATCGGGCTGCATGTCCATCTCGTCGGGACCGGTATCCTCGGCGGTATCCTCGGCAAGGGCTCGTAAGGCGGGCGTGTCTGTGGCTGCGACGCTCAATGTAGCAAGAACGGCAGCAACGATGAGAGCAGTGAACTTCATTGTCGAGAAGGCGCTTTCGTGACTTGGGTTCGTAGTCTGTGTCGGAAGCGAATTGCGTTGTGAATCAAGTGCGGCTCGGGAAGCTGTGGCCGTCAGGCTACAACGGAAAGATCGAGACCTCTTCGGAAGTCACAGAAAGTGCTTTGGGAAGCTGCACTAACTGCCATCAGATCATGAACGTCGGTCAGAAGGTTGATGATGCAGCTGTTGATCTTGAAGTCGATACTTCGATGAGAAAAGCAAAACCTTGTACGGTATTAGCAGCTCCCGCGATAGAAATATACGTGGATGAATGAAGTCGTACGTTTGTTGTTGGGGTTGACTATTGCTCGGCTGCTTTCAGCTGGCTCAAATCATGAGACCCGTGCTTTCGTTACTAGGAAAAACAAGGTTCACCTCTTGACGTACAAGTTTCACCCCCGTCCTCTTCTTCAAACGCATTTGGAGTCTTCCCATACTAATTAGAATTCGTGTCGAAAATCCATAACAAAGGTAACGTGGCGCGTTTGCGAATCAACACAACCAAGACAAACAGGCTTTCGTAAAAATATTGGGAAACAGTAGTAGGTGGACAAAATCGCCCTGTCACACACGTTGAGCTCACTTGACATCTTTCATCAGGATGAGCTGTACGATGACTTCTCAAAAAGCCGAATGGTAGTGACCTGTGCGTACAATCTTTTGTGCAAGAGACGAAGGGACCTTATCATCAATGCATGAATTCATTTCGACCTGTGCGACGCTCATAGCACGTATGAAGAGAGTTATAGTCGGTCATGTAAGCCAAATAAGAGCAGCCGAACTATGGTCAACTCCGTCGGCCAACTTCTGACTCCTCGATATTCGTGAAGGTGGCGGCAGTGTCAGCGTCGAAACTTATGATGACATGTTCATGAGAGCCACGGTCGCGCATTGAACGAAACCACGGAGGCCACAGTAGTCGTAACAAAATGCGCGATTTCATTAGGTCACTGCATTGGCAGTCTGCGACCGATTGGCAGCTACAGCCGTTCGAACATGTTAGCTGCGTCGGTGAGTCGCAAAGGCTTTTGACTTCATCGTGAATTGAAAAAGTGACCGCTTGACTCGTCTGGGTGAGTGAGTATGCGGGGTCGAAGCTAACAGAAGAGGAGGCTGCATGAGGTCAGTCGTACACACTATTCACGTCGCTGCCATCGAGCAATGAATCTTTCACTCAATGCTGTCTCTCTAAAGTATGCACGTCGCCGCCATCGAGCAAAGAATCTTCCGCTCAATGCTATCCCTCTAAAGTATGCACGTCGCCGCCATCGAACAGAGCATTTTCCGCTCAATGTTGTCCGTCCTAACTGTCACAACAAACAACCGCGATATTGGCACTAAGAACTGATGTACTCGATCACGTTGTTACGGTAAAGGCCCGCGTTCATCTTGAGCCAGTCATCACGCATACCAAGATCACGACACTAGCGTCGAGCCGAGATACATACACCGTCTGTATGTCGAGATTGAGGTAGGCGAGCACGAGACAAATACACAATTTGAATGTCGTGATAATGACAAGCGAAAGAGTACCGTCAAGGAACGGCATGCGACGAATCTCAGCCCGTACAGTACCGCAGAACTTGTGGCTCGCACGACAATCGA